CATAAGGATCACCAATTAACAATTGTAAGTGTGCCGTTTAGTGTTCCATTGGTGTATTCAATTCCTGTCTATGGTCGAAGCACTCTTAATAGCATATCAATCTCCAAAAAATTAGGAGTAATAGCAGCCATATGAACCACATAAGCCACTTGAGAGTTTTAACGCTAAGATGGTTAATATTAAAGATCGTCGTAGGCCTGAGCAATCGTCCAAGGGTTGGATATAGGCCTGCTGAATCATTCCCATCAGGGCAAGTACCGCCAATGTCGAACCGTATCTGTAGTATGCAAGCCAACAGCTACTTATTCTCCATCCCGTTTCCTTTGAGGAGTGTGCATGAGAGTAGTATTGGCCTAAGCATCCATCCATGGGTTGGGGCTAGGCCTGCGAAATCGGTCAACCCGCCCCCAGGGCATGGACCCCCAAAGTTGGACATTCGAAGTTAGACTTTCTCTGGAATCGACAACCCACCAGCTATTCACGTTCCTTCCGTTTTGTTGAAGGCAAGGAGGAGCCTGAGAATGGCTTATGCCTAAGCGTCCGTCTGAGGGTTAAACCTAGGCTTACAAAATGAGACCCCCTGGAATGAGCCCCCAGGGCACTTANGAGAATGGCTTATGCCTAAGCGTCCGTCTGAGGGTTAAACCTAGGCTTACAAAATGAGACCCCCTGGAATGAGCCCCCAGGGCACTTACCCCCAAAGTTGGAATTTTTCTGGAGTTAGCAATCTAACAGCTATGTGTGTACCAAGTTTCAGCCTCTCATCTTGTCTAGAACATGGTTAGAATTAGCGTCAGTCAGTCACCATCGTCTATATAAATTAGATGAGAAGAAAATGTTTAGTAATTAACATCTACCATAGGGACATCTTAGGAAAACGGCACAATTTGCAGTCAGGTTCAGCAGTTGCCATTGCAACTGGAGTATTGTTGTCCTCGACTCGACGAGAGTAACCTTATTACACCATAGCCTGGCATTTTTTGTAGAATTTGAGCAAAACAGGATGAAACCACAGAAAGGCCCCTCTATTTCACCATTGCCCACCCGGTCGGCGAGTTTCCGTTCTTGTGTCAGGACAGAGTAGATGTTACCTGCTGGCCGACTCCCCACACAGCAGACACACCTCCTTCTTCTGCTTGATGGAAGGCTTTGCCCTTCCGCATCTTCAAATCAAATCAATGGAGGGAGTATGGAGTTTGCACTTGTCGAATGTTATTGTTCAGCCAGGTCCTAGGGTCCTCTGTTAAGGCTGTGGGTTTTTTTCCTTCCACCTCCATCCTGTATTGTTGAACCTGTTCATTCTCGAAAAGATTTAATTACTTCCTCAAGAGTTTCTCGAGAGGTTGTGGGGCGCGCCAAAATGACTTCACCCTCTCCTTTTTGCATTATAATTGCCCTCGACCTAATGAGTAATACTCAGCCTTGGTTATGCAATTAGTAAATGTGATTGTTTCCGTCCAGCCCTCTCAGCTGGCGGATCAATAGTTAAGGTGCTGAGAGCAGAGCGAACAAGTTAGTTGGCCTAATTAATTAAATGTCACATCTGGCAGCCCTACGCGTTCTGCAAGTGACAAAGAAGTCAAACTGACTAAGGTCTCGAGTTGAACATGGAATATTTGAATGTATTTCGCTTACTTCAGGACAACTCAGCCGAGCAGAATAAATGGGTAACTGCATCGGACAACAGTTATCTTTCGGTATTTCTACTCCACTTGAACGAGATGACGCGTGTGATCCATTCTTCCCGTGTACAATTTTGACTGACACGAAGCGGGGAACAAAAGTGCCAGTGTATCGTTCTGATACACTGGATTTGGAAGCTGGCAAGTCTTCGCAACTTGGAAAATTCTGCTATGCGAAGGCGGGAATGTCAGAAGCCTATTTTCCGATAAATGTATCATACTGGACGGGACCGAAGCCCATTGATCATTTCTACATCATTTCACCACCGTTCATGCCATTTCTAACATAGAAAATATAGAATTTATTTGAGAGTTGCTGACACACCAAATAATTTTCTTAATACCAGATCACATTTTCTCTTCAATTTCAGATGTCGCACTTACCCTTCAGAGGGGTATTCCAGAGATTGTCCTCGCCAAGGCTCTATCCAACGAACTCCGATTTGCCCCTGGTCATCTAGGTGGTGGTGGTCGGAAAATTGGTATATTTACAATGCAAAATCCTGTCTAGTTGTTGGTTAAATGTATTGGGAGGTTGAATGAATCAATTGATCGCACTTGTTTCAGGAAACAGCTAGATGGAGTCGGCCACCAGTTTGGATGATGGAGTGAATCCACAATTAAGTGATGGATTTTGATGGGGGGGGGGGGTTTCTCTTGGGTCTATACTCTCCTGATTCCAAGTAAAGTAGTAGTAAAGTAAAGTAGTAAGGTAATAAAGTACCGTCCAAATTTTACCCACGAGGTAAAATTGGGACGGTAAAACAGAGGTAAAAAACCGTTTTTTTCCCCATATCTCAACGTGTCAGAAGACCCTTTAGGTAACGATTAGGCGAAAAAGCAGGAAAATTCGGGGAACGAGGGGGTAACGTTCTGTAAGGGGTGTGAGAGCAAGTCCTTATGTGCCTCCACCTGAGGTCCCTTGAGTAGCTTTGCCATGAGGTCCTTCGAGACGAGCTCGAAGCGAGCATGGAATATAGTTCAACTCATAGGCTGGAAAGGAGCAAGCACTTAGGTCAGGATGCTCCCTTGTGGAAAAAGTCTGGCCGAAGGAAATCCTCATATTTACAAGTGTGCTCGTGCAGCTTCCTGGGCCATTGCATCGACCTGTATACAATTGCCTTTTTTCAATTTCCATCGTGTTCGCAACCGACAAATGCCAAATCAAATGTCACATAAGGCAGAGTATATTGTGTTATTTACTTCATTTTGCTTCGTCGATGCAGCTTCTCCTCTTCAAAAAGAGAAAGAAACCATAGTTTTAGGAACTATTTTTATCCGGCTAACAGGCCAACGTTTTCACACAGCCCATTTGAGATATGGGACAATTTGATATTTAAAAAAATCGTGGCTTGTGTGTTCCTTTTCTCAAGAGAAGAGCTTGTGAGATGCAAAGCACCTGTGGAAAGCTTGCCACATACGAGGAAAGATCCGGGTTTGAGCCGAATCAGAGTGATAAGAACCGGTAGAAAAGGGAGGCCAGGTGGCCTTCCTAATTACTTGTCAGTTAAATCTTGCCTGAGCGGAATACGACCGATTCGACATAGTAAGTGGCTCTCGTTTTTCTCGAAAGTAGTTTACCCTTGTTTACAGTTGACCACATGGAGATTCGAGTAAAGCTGTGAAAAGATAACCTTTTTATCGAGAATATTTGCAGGAGACCTTGAAACCTGTTACAAGAGACTTATTTGCATTGTTTCCGAGATGTTTATGTTGAATTTCGCTTGCCCATTCGGCACAGCAACGTTGTGTCAACATAAAGAAACGGTTGATTTTTTAACATGTCGCCTCAATGTAGGGCAAAAAGTTTACCTCGATGTTGAAGCAATGTTGAAATGAAACATCCCAAGTAACCGTGGGTGATCCAAAACTTGTCCATGGACAGTCTAGTTGTCCAGAAATAGGACAGCTCGTAAAACCAGAAGCAGTCATCCTTTCGATGTACATAGGATGTAATCGCCACGGATCGATATATTCGCATGCATTCTGAGCTGTATCAAAGCAGAATTTCCCTACATCGAACACTCGACTATTTCCATTTAATATAATCACGGTTTCATAGAATGGCTTTATGATTACGATCATGGCATTTCTGGAGTTAGTACCTATGGGAATGTCAAATAAAAAATGAGGAAATGCCAGACATTACGGTCGGTTTGCCACTTTTTTCTCTTTTTTTACCATTCCATCTGTCCGCAATAACCATAGCGACCGGACAACACGATCCAATGCGCACGCTCATCTTCCACGAAAACATCCACTTCCCTTCCAGCCCTGGCGGTTGACGGATCCACAGTAGACAACGGAGGAAAGCGGCTCCTCCCAGTCGTGTATGCAGGGTTGCTAGGCGTACGGATGAAATTCCGTATCCGGCATCCTGCACTTCATATTGTCCTCCCGTCTCCACGCGACGCGGACGCGCAGACCATCGAGAACATATGTAGTTGTCAAGGCCTTTTCATATACGGCGAACCAATGACAGCTATTATTTATTTCAAAGGTGAATGGTTAGGATGCGGTTTCGTATATATTGATATATCAGGTCAATTCATAAATAATTTCCGTTTGTTGCCAACTGTTTTGAAACGATTGTCACGGGCACGGGGCGCTGCGGCAGGTTATTACTTACCTAAAACAAATGGTTAATCAATTTCGCTCCCTAGTGTCCCGCGCCTGACAACTATCTTTTCAGAAGCTCTTTCTTTATTCAGGAGGAAAGGTTCGTGCCTGTTCACGGCCGAGAAAGAAATATCCCACAACCGAGTTTGATACCTAAATTTATTACAGAAGTTTTTAAATGTTACCAAGTTGTCCAACGAAAGTACTGAAGTTAAAAAAAAAAAATTTTGTTAGTTCACGAGGTTCACAGACAACAAATAAGGAGCTATCCAGTTCCTAGGCAAACGCGCCTAAGAGAGAGAGAGAGAGATTTAGAATTTATCCGGAGACCTACTCTTAAGGGTCGAACTGGGGCACTAACACTGGTCGGACAGAGGAGGAAAGAACTCCACTATCAAGGACAGGGCCGAGTCCCCTCGCTTCTCTCGGGACTGGACTTCTCGGACGAAGATTCTTCCTTTTTCTTCAGGGTCCAGAGGAGGTTCCTGGAGGAGGGATTCTTGGGTGGTAGCTTGCGCCCACTGGTTGTCCAATTCCAGGAACAGTTCTTATTGGGAAACGCATTCGAGGACAAAATCATCTTCATTAATTTCTGGGTCCGTATCTCTGAACATGTACCTGTCCAACCCATGGTTTTGGAAATGAGGTTGTCTCATAAACCCTTGGTTGCGACATGGGTTTTCTGGACAGGGATGTCCGAAGATATTGTCATCCGGATCCTAACTGCAGGTCACCTCTGGAAAGGCGGGGATGGTGATCCAGATCCTGAGATAATGTCCCTTCATACGTTTTTCCCTTGTCTCCTCGGCTTATCCCATTGACTTCCGTCCGTCTCCTCAATCAGCACGCCTCCTTTCCCTTCCCCTGGACGACATGACTGGAAGGGCGGCGGCCCGTTACAATTGTAACTTGTTTCAAGTTTTACATGATATATAGTTTTATGTTATTCGATAGAGAAAACTAGAATTTTAAGATTAATATGCAATTTAGTGTCTTTCCAATTTCATGTTGAAGTAATAAGACAACGAAAAAACGCACATTCGGCACTGCATTTTGTGGGAGTTCCGGCAAGGCTCAAATGCAACGGAGACAGCAAGGAAGAGATGAGCCTTCTTTTGAGAGGACACCATCACCGATCGCCAGTGCAGGAATTTGTTCACAAAGTTTCCGTCAGGAGATTTATCGCTCAAGGATGAACCACGTCCTGGTCGCTCTTCAGAGTTTGATAGCGATGTATTGAAAGCGTTGATCGAGGCCAACCCACGTAAATCCACTTATGAATAGGCCGAAGAACTTGGTACTTCCCAACCGACCGTATTTCGCCACCTTCGTGCTTTTGGAAAGTTAGCAAGTTGGGAACATGGGCTACTTGGGATAGTCCAAAATTGAAAATACGTAGTCAACATTGCATTGTCAATGTTTGGGCATCACAGTAGGCTACCTCCTCCTATTTCTTAGTCTAAACGAGCACTAATATCGATTAGATGACGAAATTGAATGTGTATTAGGTTCATGATAGTACTTTAACCCTTTTAGTGCCCCGCAGCAATTCGAAGGCTAAGAACGACGTTCCCCTGGCATTAAAAGGGTTAGGTTCTGTCATCCCACAGAGGAATCCCTCTGGAGGGCCAAGGAAGGATCCCCAGGTGGGATGATAGTATTCCATTGAACAACATGCATCCCGAAGAAGTCACGATGAGATTGTATTTCCTCTACTGGATCATAATTCGAGTTGGGTAAAGGAGTCCCTATATTTTCACGGGAGATGTGTTCTGTGAAAAGGCCGTGGAGAGCAAATCCGTGAAACAAACCCAGTTTTACATACAGTACTTAGTGAGTGCTATTGACTGTAGATACTGGAGCACGCGCGTCCGTGCTTCCCACCTCAGTCGCGCAGAGTCTGAGTCGACGCACAACCGAAGCCTAACCAGTTTATTTGCGAACCCACCCCATAATTAGAGAATTTTTTATCGTAAAAAAAAACTGCTAATGCGAATACATGACGCAACCTTTTCCACCGAGCAGAGGAACTATGATACATGTCTAGCACCATCCCCAGATATATCTCATTTGAGGAGAGGAGCCAGGCACATCCCCGCAGACAGATTATCACGCTCCATCCTTCTCGAAAGAATTACAAGAGCGTAAGTGGAAGCCTGTGTAAGTGACATGTAGAAAATTAGGAAAATTCAGCAAGTCTCCTTGGACCCCCTGGCCAGTAGTACTTGAAGTCTTCCTTTGCCGGGTTATCTACTTAAACAAGTCTATCTAGGAATTCCAAAGCCTTTTCTTATGTTGCACGTAGGAAAAGATCTGGTACTGTGTGAAAAATACAGGGGACTCATTCCAATAGTACCAGGGTGAAAATCGCTAAATCCGCGCTTAGGCGCCATCTCGCGCCGATTGGTAGAACCTATTTAAATGTGGAAGTCTCAACCATGTCACAACATTTCAATCTTTTATCAATGTTGACACAACGTTGTTGTGCCCAACGGGCGCTCACTTCTCCTTACAATTGACCATTACACCTTCTTTTCTTTCCAGGCAGGAGGAAATAGTTTCAGGATGTATGTCACAAAATTGAGAGGCTTACCAAGTCTATTCATCGTCGTACTAACGGCATCAACCGAATGCAGTTTCGGAAACGTAAGCAAATGGAAGTGCAGCCACGCACGAGTTTCGCCCATTGCACAAAGTTTAGACCTAAAGCTTGATATGATAGGAAAAAAAATTAATTTCAAAACCTTTTCATGGAATCGTTACTCGCACTTCAGCTCTCAGAGACGAGATATCCCACATTGCCAAAAAGCTTTGTCCAACAATAGCCCCTTCATGACAACGTCGGGAAATCATCGGCATTGGCAGGCATGCTCGGCTCATTCGTGGGTCTACATTGGCTCGCCATTTTTCGCACTTCATTCGTCAAGGAAATACCCCAATAGTACCACATATTGGCTCAATGGTGCACCAGCATTGAGTATGTTGGCTACATCTTGGGCAATATTTCCATTCCATCATCGATCCAATATTGGGCCTACGCGATGATCCAATGTGCCCGACCGCACTTAGACCGTTTTTGGGACATGTTGAAGCTCCCATTCGGGCCAGTAGATGGACTCGCTTTTCGTACAGTACACAGAAGTACCCTTCCCTTTTTCCCTGTAATCGCCCCTCACAGTTTAGTACCTTAGCATATGTCTCGCCGAGTTTCATTATAGTAACCAATAAACTCGGACACTTCAGTTGTTATCCACATACCCTGTATTTGAGACAGTATCATGGAGCACAGGCCATTAAAAAAACTCATATTCCCGATGAGAACCCTTTATGAAAATAGGATGACCTATTTACGTCTCCAAGTTAGGGCATGATTACTAGAATGCCTCTGACAGACCGCTAGACATAGCCGACTTCCCTGACCAGTGTAACATACATAGAAATCGAACCCGTATTTTCCCTCTCTCAAACATAACTGCTCCTTGGAAAGCACACAGTCAACTCCACGATCATCGATTATCCGACTAGACAATTGAAATTTCCAGTGCAAGTGATTTATCCCCATACACCTAAAATAATATTCTAAAAACTATTAAAAACGTTAATATTACATAATGCATCAAATCATTCAACATCATTCATAGAGAGGCTCTTTGTACCTTCCTCTTAGATACTTTCTTACTTTTAGAGAGGTTCAGAACAAATTTGTCATTGTGACCGTTGACAAAGCCTCGAACAGTTTTCGCCTTCATTTGCAAACGTTTTTATGGCTGGATCCTGAAAGAGGAAATTGTAAACAGCCCGACATTTGAAGCAACCTCTTTAACTATATCCAGATTGCATGAAGGTTGAGAAAACTACCTCACCCCCATTCAAATCCGCTCATTACTTGGACCTCAACCTTAATATTACAAATTCTAAGTTTTCATTAAATTTATGACGTAAGAATAGACTTTTCCTTCGAAATTGCTAACGTGCTAATGCATAGGTGGAATATCTATATGCATATTATCAATAATGTCATCAAGTCACAATTAAATAGATACTTGCAGACCTGCAGTCACGAGGACGACTTCGTATTTAACACTTTGCGTACCACTCACGGAAATCTCCGTTATTGAGTCCTTTCGCGAGTCATTTTGCCAAAATTGATAGTATTTCATTTCTAGAAATCCTAGGTACGTTGAATCTAAAAAAAATAGGGACCACATAGTCCTTTTAACAACAAGCATGCATGTGATAACGTGGGAACCTAATTTTTTCCGCAGATAACATTTTTGCCGAATACTACGATTACTGCCAATTTAAAATATAATTCGCACAGCACTTCACATTCCAAAACTTTAATAGTTGAAGGAAACACATTTATGTTAGGAAGCCATATGCCTGAAAACTAAAACTCAGCTCTACTAGATTGTTGTTCAGGCATCCACCTCATTTCTTTCGCGTTCATTTCTTACAAACTTAACCATAATGTATGGTCTAAATAAAGGCTTGTAGGCGGCGCACGTCAGGCTCAGATAGCAGAATTATAGGTAAGGCGGACCGAAAAGTCACTTAATGGGTGCGGGTTAATATGCAATCATGTTTTTTTGCTTAGAAACTTCCATTCAGTTCTATTCCTCAACCGAGAAGTCTCGCCGACTTGGAGGAGAAAATATCAACTGTCATGGCAAAGATTGAAGAGCTCGCAGAGGGCAATGCACGACTGAAATTCGACAATTCGCACCTGAAGCTCTATAATGAACAACTGAAGCACGATAACATACAACTAAAGATCGACAACGAATACCTCAAGTCCCACCTGGAGAATACTGTAGAGGATAGGCTGCAATACCTGGAGGCAGTCACTCGGCAAATTGGTGAATTACATATTCACAAAATATTCAAATAATTTTCAAGTCTCTAATTTTCGGCATACGATGTTTGTTTCACAGTGCCCCCAACGTGCGAGACTCTCGCAAAGCTTGGCGTGTCACGGTCAGGAACCTACCTTGTGGACCCCGATGGAGTGCTACGAGGCGATCCACCCATAAAAGTATTCTGCGAAATGGAGACAGGTAACAACAGCAAGCTTAACAGCTAGGTCTACCTAAACCATGAATGAAAGACTACTCGCTGTTGGCCCCTTGTAAACTTCCTTTTCGTTCTTATTCAGCAACCACTAATGTTCTCCACGATTCGATGGAAAGTACGGAGATAGATCACTGTCCTGATCCTGGCTGCTATAGTCGCAGAATTACTTACGATGCGTCAATCAAGCAGGTCCATGCATTGATCGAACTATCGAAGTCATGTGAGCAACAAATAAGGGTGAGTCATTGATGTTGTACCTATCTAGGTGTGCCTTCGATAAAACATCATCGCCAAAGCATTTACACGAGAGGGTTCACTAAAAAAAAGAAGCCATTTACTACTGTCTGGCATGATTTGGTTGGAGTGCAAGAGGGGAGACATGAAAAGGGAAGAAGGAAAAGTTGAAGTGGAATAAGAGAGATGGGGGAGTGGGGGCCGTTTCCCTTTAAAAAAAAAATTATAATTATGGGTCGAACATCCACAAGGTACGAGGTAATAAGGTTTATCAATAAGCAAAAAAACATCTAGTCACTAGACTTATTCTCCGCATGGATTCGGAAACTGTTTCAAGCACGGACCTCTTTGCAACTTCTTGTTTGTTTCAATTATAGTATGATCTTTTAATTTTTAAAGATGATATATTTCTCAATTATGGCGGGGGAAAATGGTGTGTCGACTAACAGCACTTCACTAATGAATTGGCTGCGTTCCTGCATATTTATCTTTAAAAAGAAACAAACAAGTTTTTTCCGCAATATAAAATATGAAGCAACTACGAGTACTTGATTACCATTTTCTTTCCACTTGATACCATGACCATTTTCCTCGCAGTACAATTGCTATCCCACGGCCCAGACTACAGGAGACACCAACTACGCATGGTGGGTGGACCGTCACGGCGACCCTCAGTATTACTGGAATGGTCCCCGAGAAGGAGAAAATATATACATCCGCGATATCATCGACGATTGCGTGGATTGCATCCAATCTGGCAATTGCGACGCCGAAGCCTCCCAGGGGGGATCAGGCTTGGGCACCATCACCAACAGTGGAGCTTTGCCTATCACAGAGCTCCGATTCGGCGGGCTGCAGTCGGAGAACCAAAAGGCGAACCACACTCTGGGAGCATTGATGTGCAGGGGCCATAATAATCAGCCAAACCACCCAGCGGAATCTTGCTCATCTCTCCGTCGTGCCGGACACACTCGCACAGGTCATTACCTCATCAGCACCAAAGAAGGACGACTGGATGTTGTGCTGTGTCGGATGGACTTGGAAGATACTGACGTGGGATTCCAGGTATACACAGGTGCCAGCATCGCCGAGGAGGGCGTTTATTTCGATGCCGTTCGTGTTGACGGTTGGTCAAGTGTTGGTATAATTCCTTTTTATTTTGCCGAGGTGAACATAGGGAACGGAATGGATCCGAGCAGCGGGATTTTTACCGCCCCTCTGGACGGCATCTATGCATTTCATTTTCATTGTATGACGCACGAAACGGTTCAGGTACTTCTTAGGAGTAATGAAGTCGCCAAAGCCACATTGTTCTCAGAGAACGAGTCGAACCTAGGGCAAATGCTTGGCCAATCCATTCTCCTCCAGCTCCAAATAGGGGACCAAGTCGACCTCTATTTAGAACGAGGAGCAATCCAGTCACTCGGAACCCGAGGTATTCATTTTGTGGGATATTTATTGTATCTCACGTAGTCACAAAGATGCAATAAAGCACAACGCTGCGTTGTACAGCATCATTTCTAATCGTATTTCTCTTCCCGTCAAAATTGCATGCAACGCAAATCCGCATCAGAAAACTCTTCTGTGCACCTCTACCCTTTTGTCAAGATGTTTCGATGCGCTGTGCTTCCGCCCATGGTGGACATGTCAGAGATTGTCTTGAATTCACATGGAACTATTCGCATTTGTAAACCACCGGAATCCTTCGTGACAGTATCAACCTAGTCTCATGGAAGCAGCGAAAAAGCCTACTACTCTTATGCGGCACAATCGATTGCATACAAAAATGGGCACTTCATGTTTAGAATAATGCTCATAACAATCTACTTTTACCCGTTACATTCAGGATAAGTTACTTCATTCAACAATTGAATGATTCAAGCGGTCCTATTGCAGTTCTCAGCCATCCACACATCCAATATTAAAAACGCCGACGTTTCCCATGGTAGATGTGGCCATTGGCCTATAAAGCTTTTGTCCCTCAAATAGATTAACCAGGTAGCTCATGAGTCAATAATTATCAATATTTGCATTTCCCGATCATACGCTGGCAGCTAATGCGCCTACGAGCCCTTTTCTTTCCATGCCATAGCCCAGGGATGTTTCGTAACTCGCCCTTATAGCTGATGAGCCTACAAGCCTACCTTCCCAGAACCTAGGCTTGGTGGGACGGATTTAAATCCTTTGAAGTACAATGTCGTACCCTGTCCGACATCGCTTACAGTGCCGTTTTACCCCTTTCACTGGCAGTTTTCAGTCACAAATTGTTACCCCGGTGCACAGTGGGTCAAATGGGCATCTTCCTGGCCAAAATTAAGAAATAGAATTTTGAAGAAATATGGAACGTAAAAAATGAATTCTTAATTTTGTTTACTTCCCGGAATCACCCAAAATATCGAATTATATAGAGAACCCGTTCCAAATGATCTCATAGTGACTTCTCATCGCATCGCCTCATGATGCGATTACAAGTCAGCGTTACAAGAAAAGTAGTCAGAGGGATATTGCTGGAGCAACGTGAAATCTCACTCTCATGTTGAACAGCAATCATGCAGCTGGTTTTCACGTGCCTGCTGTAGCTCCAGCGTTACGCCCCAGAAACGCCCAAATCTTCACGGGCACTTGATCACGAGGTGATGCGATGAGAACCCAGCGATTTGAAGTATGATATACGTCCGATATTTCGGGCGATTCCTGATTGTAATCAACAGAGCATTGGGAATGAATTCTTCATCGAAGGCTCCCTCAAGCCCGAACGGATCAATCACGGTTTTATTCTTGGGTCAAGTCGGTTTTGAAGAAATTAGAGCATTGAGAGATAGAGCACTGGAAACTCATCTAGAAAAAAGGCTTCAGCTTTCTATAAAGTAATTACAACACTGTGCACTGGGGTAACAATTTGCGTCTGAAAACATGTCAGTGAAAAGGTCAGAGACATTTGTTCTGCTTCCACGCTCACGCGTGAAAGGCAAAATCCATACCCCTGGGACTCCCGACTGCTGAGTCTAGAAGCAGGCCTTCCGGAAGGTTGAACAAAGATCGTCATCTTGCTCGATGGCTGACTGTCGCCGTCCGGTCTTCGCGCTTCCGACGCCGCCGAGGGGGTTCTTCAATGGGGGAGGGGGGGGGGGATGAGACCGAATGGAGTCGAGTCTCAATCACCACCTGTTTCTTCGTTTCAACGAAAGCATTATTAGGTATTTAAAAAAAAACACAGAGCCTAGAGACCCTTACAGCTGATGATAATGCTAAACACGCGGTCAATATTTCTCTTTACGTGGATGTACAGCATCATGGGAAATTTCAAGTTTTAATTTCCGTTGTTTTTTTTTGCTTTGTTTTTCTTTTCCTCCAGGATTTGAGTATTGAAACTGATAGTGGAAGATGTCAATAACCGCGGACAAATGTGTGAAACACAGTCAGTGAGAGGTTGCTGAGAGATTCAATGACTATCTGTATTGGCAGCCAATAACGCAAAGTTGAGGAATGTTCAAGGAGAATGGTAACGTTGCATTAAGAATAATGGTAAACATGTTGAACACATGTTTTTCAGTGTCATTATAAAATGTGAATTTCCCTATGATGCTTGACTTATGGGAAACCCTGAATTTCAGAGATATAAAATATTCCAGGCTGACAGGAACAGTGGACGGACGATCCAATCCTGATATCTCATCCTAATCCTAAATCCCGAGAGACAGATCTGAATGAAGTAAATCGCGTTCCTCTGCAAAGGTGAATAACTCAGCGATTCCTCATGAAACCACTGCTTGAATTCTTCATTTCGACTACAGTCACCATGACTCACAAGTCAACATGAGATTCTTTCAAGGTCGGATTCACTCATTGTTATGGAGCATGTAGAATATAAAAATAGGATATCCGAAATTTAGGCCAGAACAATATTACAAAGCCAAAATTCTGGGTGCCTGCCTTGTCGCCAACGACTCAACGAATGACACAGTAAGAAAACAGAGCGGTCACGACTTGGCAGGTAAGGACGCGTGATCGCGAAGGGATGACCTGGTCGCGCTTGCGTCGAAGGCGGCTGAAGAGAAATCATCATCATCATGTTTATTCCTGATGAAGCAATGGCTATATCAGGTGCAGTAGGAAAAAAAAAAAACCAAGACAAACAAAATGTTGCAATAAACAATAAGAGGTTGGCAATTCCCTTTTACCTAGATGGAGTACAAATGCATTGCAACTTAAACGACATGTAACAGAGCAGGGGTGAGAATACGCCTATGGGAGGTGTGATCTGTGTGCCTGCGAGGGCATAGTGCGTCGGTCTTGTATCACTGTGTATGAATATGTAGGGGCTATGTTATACTTCATCAGCAGCACAGCAGTCGTTTTTACGCCGAGGAAGGAAGTGGAATAAAGCCTTTGAAAGGTCTCTGAAGGAACATCCTTTAAAATTTCAACTACTCCTATTTCACGTACCATGGTCCAACTTAGTTCATGTTGTGCTCGAATATCAGCTGTGTACTCGCAGTAAAGAAGTGGGTTAGGTTTCCTTTCAAAAGGCAACCTGGGCATAACAATCCTCCATATCTGTATGTTACTAGCGAGTTTGTTTGCCCTTCGGGCAAACAAACTCGCTATGGACGCGCCTTCGGCGCTCTGCGATGTAAGGCGTCCGTTTTCGATGCTCACCCCTACTAATGCGGTCAAACTCCTTTGTTCATGGGTTCAATTCTCATTTTAGGAAATGGGGGTGGGCCAAGTTATCTAAAGCAGAACAAAATTCAAACCTATATATCCTTATGTCCACCACCTTGGCACTGACTGTAGTCCATTTGTTTGGCATGAGTGTAATGGTAGTGCTAGTACTGTCACTTTGGATGTTTGAGTCGTGAGTGCCATTACTCCCTAGGTTGTATAGGACCGACAAGGGTAAGTGATCAGATTCGATTCTGGAAATAATAGTAAAATCAAGTACTCTGTCAAAGAAATCTCCAAAAGCTAACATGTAATCAATAGTACTGCATCCATTGTCATTTATAAATGTGTAGCTACTGATCCTGTCGCTAAAACGTCCACTCAACAAATATAGTTCTGAGACTCTAATTGTCTAAGCCCATCCTGCTGGTCTGATATGAAGTTGTCATTGGTACCTCTAGCAAGGATGTATCTCAATGGGTACCCAAATTCATTATGGTCCGAGTATGCTGGTTCCTGCCAGCCTCCAATCCTAAATTTAGACCTCCAAATATCAAGAGTTCCGTGCTAGGGAATGTAGAACAAAAGGTGGCAATGTCTTCATGAAGGAGGTCAAAAAACTTGGCGGTCCATGACGGGGAATTCCTGGGAGGGTTGTACACTAAACACATAAATAGCTGCAAAGCGTTGTGGTTGAAAATACCCCACATAACCGGTGTAAGGCCAGAAGGTGAGTCTAGCAAATTAAAGGAATTGGCATATACAT